GCAAGCAATTTACTACATACAGGAACATGATTACTGACTTCATTACCGAGGCCAAACAACTAGAGTTTTTAATTTAAAAAAACTGGCCAATAATGCCCCACGATTACAGCTCTTAATTTTTACTAAATACATAGGAAGTTGAGAAAGTAAAAATGAATTAATGAACTAAATAATGAAAAGCTCAAAGAAATAGTTAAAAATGTCCAATCATTCATCAAAATATAAGAAGAAGAAAAATTTTGGCAAACCACAAAATTAAGAAGCAAATCAGAATCAAACGCTGAGGACAAGTATGTATGACTAGAACAGAAGCACATTATAAAGAATGTAGAATAATCTCCTACAAATTCATGGCAAACTAATAAACAAAAAGAGAAGAATACGACGAGCAAGTTGTACAGAAAGAAGGTAAAAGATTTTACTCTTAAATTCAGAAACAGAATGTTTGTAAACTGAGTCATCTACAACCATCCGAAGTAAGGGGCTCACAATATCTGATCAATATCTGATCCCCTAGAAATCACAGAACTTTTGCAGACTACTTTAAAGAGATAAACACAGTATAACTGACAAACCATTTACCATTAACTGAAATCAGATACTCCGAAGCAATCAACGGTATTGATTTCACAAATCTTGGAACAGCTCAATCTCTTCTTGGACTGAATATTAGTTTGTCAGCTGGTCCCTATAGAATCCTGACTATTTATAGAATTCTGATAAACTGCGCAAACCAACTTACTTTACTTTAATAAAATTTTCAAATGGTTATTAGACAATAATTTCATTCATGTGGAAAACAGAATAATATGATTCTCATAGAATGACACAGATTTGCCCCCGGAAGATCAACTGTCTCTAATTTGATTAGCTCACTAGATGCATGGACGAAGGTTTTGAATGGAGGACAACCCATGGATATGATGAATGTGGACAATGCAAAAGAACAAAGTTCCCAACAAGCGACTAATTCACAAATTAGAATCGATGGGGTTAGTAGCAAACTACTAGCATCGTCCGAGAGTTCCTCTCAAACATTCCTAGTATATATCGGAGAAAAGCGTTCAACATCTCAAACTGTTACAAGCGGTGTACCTCAAAAATTTGCCATAGGACCGATTCTGTTCATCTTATGCACATGTGATCCAGGTAATGGAATTACGGTAAGATGGAATTGCTATGTGATCTATTGCTATGCCAATGACACAAAACTATTTGCAAACCCTCTGACAGATCATCATACTTTACAGAATGATATTCCAGCAATGGAAAACTGTTCAAAAACATGGCTACTTCTGCTGAACATTGAGAAATGCAAAGTTCTCCACATTGGCAAGAAAAACCCTAACCAACTACCCAACACCATTGTAAATCAAACTCTGAACACCGCAGCATAACAAAGCCACTTTGGTATACTAATTACTCAGGATATAAAGTGGGAAACTCAAGTCACCTTATATGTTGTATATGATGAGGAAGGTTATTATCCTAACTGCATAACTCAATAGTGAGGAAAATCTACACAACCTATTAGATCTGGGAAAGACAATATGTCACAAAAGTACAGAATGATCCTGAGAGAAAATTGCTGTAACGACTACCAACAAGAGTGCTGAAAGATGACAATTCTGACACTAGAATGGAGGAGAAACAAAAATGACATAGAGACATACAAAATTCTAAATGGTCTCTATAACGTTCCATAGTATATGTTCTTCACAATATCTATAGACACCAGACTGAGAGGACACATGATTTACAATGTACACTAGTAAAGTAATATTTTAACTTTAAATTATTTTACACGTTTGAATTGGAGATCATATACTGCAGTTTGGTCAGTTAACTTTTTATTATAAATAGCCATTATGTAGATTTGTAATTACTTAAACATTTCAACGTAAGCTGGAATGTTTCTAAACATCAATTATTTCAAATTGAAAAAGAAATTCTGACTTCAACAAACTGTCCAGTTGCCTCCATAGGTTATATATAATTTTGTACTTGGTTTTGTATTAAATGCAGAGATAACATATTTTAGAATTCAAAAAGAAATACAAGTGCGTGTTTCCATATACACAGACTTTTTAAGTTAAAATTAAATGTCTTCAGGATGGCCTGATTACACATTCCACTTGTGTCGGGTAATTTATTGGCTTTATTTTCGTCATTTGAGTATGTAATCAGTTTTTTACACACTCCAAAATCATTTATTTCATAAGTATAAAATTATAATGAAAATATTTGTTCTACTACGAGAAGAAAAAGAGATATATGAGAATTAATATATGTGAATGCCCATATGAGCTGGTGGAAGGTCCTAAACAGATATACAGTTATGTACAGCTTTCACTTCAAGGAATTTGTTTTCACCAGAATCAAAACTGGATTATTATAGGTTTGAATTATTAACATCTGTATTACTGGTGCTCTACTGTAAATGTAATTTATTAGTGCTCACTGGTGAACTCGCGCATTGAGAGATCATCTTAATATTCTGAAACTTGGAAAGGTCATATCCTTAATAAAACCCTTAATTGGCTAGGAAAATATCTATTTAGGATTTACTATAACAAAAGAAAACCAAACGAGTACATAACATGTAATTTGAGAGTTGTACATTCATGTTATTTAATGTTACAGTAGGGTCAATTTCAAAATAATAAAATTTCTAAGTGTTAACTAAGTGTAATTTTTAAGTTATTGACCTGTACAACATATTTCACTTTGTGTCAGGAAAAGTATTTAATATAAAAAATTCAAATGAAACAAAATGCACAATAGAGTTATGAAGGAATTCAGAGTTCTGATTTTTTTTTCAAGCTTTTTCATAAGTTAGTTTAACTTTTCAATAGAAACGACTTTTTAATGAAAGAAATAAAACATTATAACCAAGTCTGTACCATCCTTTGTCAGCTTAATAAAATATTGTTTCGTGCCTCGAAAAATTGAATTTTTTTTCATATCTAACCCAAAAGATACTTCAATCAAGATACTTTCCCAAGGATAAATTCATATCACCTTAATTTCCTCATCTAACCTGGTGGTATTAATTCCTAACCATCTACCATCCCCCTAAATCAACCTCCCAACCATATAATCCTAAAATTGATTTTAAGGAGTCCAGAGGGAGTGGTCTCGCTCTTAATAAGGTTAATACAATGTTTGCTATATATAATTACTGTCCAAACGCTCTTGTAAATTGCTAATCTGCTGTGAGAAATTTTGTTTAATACCCATTCACAAGCAAGTAATAGTATATTATGCAACTAGTTCATGTTGAACTTTATTCCATGAGTACACGTTTTGAAAATGAGTGAGTTTTTAAATTTGTATGAAGGCAATAAAGCAACGATATAAACAAGTTCCTACATTATTTTTTTAATAACAGAATAATAAATTTGTAAGAGAATGAAAGTTGACATATGGGATGAACTTCATTCTGCTTCCCACAGGCACCAAAACAAAATTTTGTTAAATTTTCTCAATTTTTCAGTCCCCCAACAATAGAATTAAAATGTCTTATAGCAGAAGAGTAAAACAGTCTTATATGCAAATTTGCATTGAAAAAATTGGTGCCATAATATCATTTGAATGTTTCTGAAAATGCTCATTTTTGAGCTCATTTTTTTTCACAGAGAAGTTTTGAAACTTCATCAAATATCATTTGAAGAACATTGGTTATAATGTAAAGTAAATCTCTATCATTTGTGGTAACCCTTAACTGCCCAGTGTGTCCATATGGACATGCATTAGCAACATTTCATCCTTTTGCACAGAGCTAATATTTATTATAGTGAAGTTTGGAATCATTTGGCTTATAAAAGAAAGTCCAGACTATATGCCTATTTTTGTTAGAATGGTATCTTGTAAGAAAGATCATTGTAATCGCTTCCTGTAATACACAGAATATTTTGTGTTGAAAAGTCATGGACCTCGATGTGTTATAACATTGTTTCTGTTTTAATTGTTGGATCAACACAGGTCGACACTGAAAAATGGAATTGTCTCAACTCAATATTTCCAACACAGTTTCGAAAATTCAGAGAAATCAATGAAAATGAGACCAACACCATTCTTTGAAACTTACTTTGTTTTGTTTGTGAAAAAAAATTAAAATACAGTTTTGGGGAAAATGTTCTTTTTATAACTCGTATTAATTTCAACCAGAAATTACGTGAAAACTACTCTTTTTTTTTTTTTCCTCTCCAAAAAATTGGACATGACCTTTTTTAAAGAGCTGATTTTACTTTCTGACTGACGTATGTAAGAAAGTATTGTAATCGTGCCCCTGAAACGGAGAATGTTTGGATCATTTTGGAAAAACTTAATAAATCTTGTTCCTGTATGTAGTAAATTACTTCCTCTCACAGTCCTCGTTTATTCCTCTGGTCAGTAATGATCATACCCTAACACCTGGGAATGAACTACTCTATCCGGAAAGGCTTCCCATCTAAAGCATCCATATCGAATTTGATGGAAGCAGTGAAAGCTTCAGAAGGCGCATTTACAACCCACTCAGAAGTTGGCATTACTTCACATCATAATGTCACATTACCTGAACCGATTGGTTTTATCGATGACGTTCCAAGGGTAGCGCTGAACCTAGGATTACGATTAGAAAAATCTGCAGATCCTATTTGCAGATGGCTGAGCTCCTGTCGGAGTTTCTACCAACGGACATTAAAGACAGCCAAAACACTGAGGATCAACTGGCCCTAAACTGTACAAGATTTAAAGGCTCATTAGAAGAAATGTGTCGATGACGAGGTAGCCGCCTGGGAGAAGCTAGGATC